AAGTCACCTTATTAGTATAAACTCAGGTTTGGTTGCAAGGGACTCATGATGAATAACAAAAGATATTCCTACTGCCTTTTGGGCATTTTAGGAATTCCAAAGGTTTTTGAAACTCTGTGCCAGGAACCAGGGACAAAGACCAGATATATTCTTTCTTATGTCACAACTGGATCATCACATGCTGGTCTCCTCTGATCTTCAGCATCCTGCTTAGGCTCTTTTTTGTGACACCAAGGTTGACCTGTTCCCATTATTTGGTTGGGAAACTGGGCATTCTGTCTCTTTCTGGATATTCTTTTTTTGTCAATATAGTTCAAGATTGAAATAGTTTTTTAAGACTAAAACACATAATTACAGTGATTTAATGTGCACCTGCTTATAATTGAATCACAAGCCTCTCATTACTTGCATTCCTGATGCTAAGATGATTTGAGCCCCTTAATGACACATAATAAGAGTAAATAGTTAATAGCACTTGCTATTAACTATTAAACTATATTAAACCAAGCCCTGTTTTAAATACTCTGCATACATTAACTTCACTAATCCTCACAAGTACCTTTCAAAGTAGTTAAGTTGCTACAGTCCCTGTTTTATATATGGGGAAATAGAGGCACAGAACAGTTAAGTAACTAGCTGAAGATTACACAGATAATAAATGGCACAGCTGAGATTTGAACCAAGATAGTCTTGTTCCAGAGTCTGTGCTTTTAATTACTAAGCCATGATGCACATAACTTTTTGGAGAGAGAAGAAAGGAGTATAAAAGGATGCCTCTGGTTCACAAAGCCAAAGGGTTAGCCCCGGCCCCTGTTGTCATGGTGATGGAGCCAGGGTTTCCATGTTCTACCACCCCTATTGGAGTACCTCTGGAGCAACCCTCTGGGGCTAGGCTCTAAGAAAAGAACGCAGACCCTAGGGCGTAGTGATGTGAGCTCCTGACCATCAGGCCCAGAGCTCCTTGGTTCTTTGCATCAAGGAGCAAAGAAGGGAGGGCAGAGCTATTTCACATCCTTCACAGACCAGCTGCTGGGAAATACAACTACTCCATGGGGAAGGGGAAATGGCCAATCTTTTCCTGCCTGGATGGAAAGGGTTTATGCCAGGAAGGCTCAGTACAAGGCTGTGCTGGTCAAAATGATCCCAGTCCCAGAGAAGCTGTGAGTTCAGGTGGTTTGGAGCCTGGAGCTCCTGAGGAGCACAAGGGGCTCACATGCCTGTGCTCACATCCAGTGTACTCGCTGGGGAAAGGGAGTGGCTTGTTGCTATTTTTAAAATAACATAAAAGGTTCATGGCTTTGAAAGCGCCAAAGAGAATTAATTTACTAGAATGAGTCACTAAACAGAGAAGGGGTGACATTTGATGGGGTGATGTCTCTGAAAGAATTTTGTTCTGCAGTGCTGCCTGCCCAGAAGAATCTAGGTGGGGGTTACATGTCTGTGTGGCTCCAATGCAGTCCTATTATGTTTGACTTTGTCTTCCCTTCTTATCCTCAAGGTCCAGGGATGAGGTTGGGCAGGAGCGTGATAGAGGTGAAATATTCTTAACTAACCCCATGCACATGGGATTGACTGGAATCTACAAGGTTAATGTGTGTTCTTTGCAGATGTTTCTCTTTTGGCATCTAATTTGTGGCAGAGGCTCTGGGGGGAAGTGGGAAGGTCTCTTGCTCCAGGAAACCCAGATCCTCCATCCTTCTGCCTTTGTTACATGAACGTATCTGTCTCCAACTCAGATAAATTGTAGAGTGTCAGAGCTGCAGGGGAACCCAGAGGTCATTTGGTTTATTTTCTCATTTAGAGATGGCAAAGTGAGACCCAGAGAGAGGCAATGACTTGCCCAAGCCCATGCAGCTACTAAGTGATAGACAGGGGCAAGACTGCAGGTCTCTGACTTGTAGTCTAGAGCTAAGTCCACCAGAAACATCCCTGACTCAATTACTCCTTTTCCATTCAGATGAAAGGAAAGGGTCTGGACTTAAATGTTACTGTGTATAACCACAACCATTCTAGCAGCCTGCTAAATCTGTTCCAAAATCTTTCTTTGCAGAATCTTTTTTTTTTTTTTTTTGGCTGCCACTTCTAGCAGACCCCTCCCTCTACCTCCAACCCTTCATCTCCATCCCCTATTACCAAATATTCTGTCAACACCACTGGTAAGTGTGGTGCTGGTTGGGGGAGATCAGGTAAGGGCTTTCGTAAGGAGATGACTAAGTAGTGGAGTGATTAAGATCATAGGTACTGGTTTGGCAGCTTTGCAGAAACAGACCATGCTGGCATTTGAAGCACTCCCACTGCTTGTTAGAAGAAAAATTTAAACAAATTAAACTTAACAGGTTTGAGCAAAGAATGATTCAGGAACTGGGGAGCCCTCAGAACCAGAATGGTTTCTGAATGACTCGGAGGCTGCCACATGGTTGGATACATTTATGGACAGAGAAAGGAAAGTGACATACAGAAAATGGAAGTGAGATATAGAAACGGCTGGATTGGTTATGGCTTTGTGTTTGCTTTACTGGGAACAGGATTTGAATAGTTGATCGCCTGTGATTGGCAGAAACTCAGCTGCTGTGGTTGGCTGAGACTCAGCTACTTGTCACAAGAGTAGGTTACAGTCTATTACACATCAAGTTGGGTTACAGTTTATTATACAGGGAGAAACCCTTAGGCCACACTTAAAATATGCAAGTGGGCAGCTTTAGGCCAAACTTAATTTAACATGTCCCAGGGCAAGTGTGTGGTGGCAGGTGGTGGTTTGAATGGGAGGAGGGGCCTAGGCAACTATGGGAAGTGGCCTGTGGTGTGAGCGTCAGGCATGTGAGGTTTTGTCCCATCTTTTGTCAGACTTGCTAGAAATGGTCAAGACCTGGAATGGACACCTTCCATTACATGTTGTGACCATTAGCATCTAAACTACAGATATTGCAACCCTGACTGCTCATTAGGGATTAGGGAGCTTTTGGAAATCCTGATGTCCAAGTCATACTTCAGACTAATTATATTAAAATATCTGGCTTCAATCATTTTTAAAGTTCCCCAGGTGATGCTACTGTGCACCCAAGGTTGAGAATCACTGCTCTAGGTTGAGGTTCAGGCCATCAGCTGAACCTTGAGGAACTCTGTCCATGTGCCTTCCCTTGAACGGACTGTTTACCTTTCCCCTAAAGGAAGAATGCAAAAAAGAACAACAAGAAACTGTCTGTATATTCTGGGCTGATGGGATGGCCTCCCACTGTCCTCCAAGCTTATCTATGGCATTTTTCTCCCTTACCCCACCCAGAGAGACTGCAAGGGTAGAGGGTGGAGTTATGATAGAATGTGGAAGAAGAGGCTACAGGCAGCTCAGGAACAAGAATATGCTCTACTTGACATCAGCAAAGCCTCCTTTGTAATGAGCTTCTGGCCAGAATCAAGGATACCTGGGGCCAATAGGACTGCTGGAGCAGGGCTGGAGGGAGCCAGGACTGGCCAGTCATGGGCAAAGGGCAGATTAGGACCTGAGAGGCCAGGAGCCTTCTCCCAAAGAACAGAGAGCACTCCATCTCCTCATGGGATGGGAGCCCATGGAGGTAAAGCAAGGAGTGGCAAGTTATGGATGAGAACTCAGGTGTCCTGGTCCCTTGCAATGCTCTTTTATTTGTATCACACATATGTTAAAAAACTAATTATTGTTCAGCCAAAGTACATGCTGCCTTCTGCTGAGAAGCAAATCAGCCAGCAGGGAGAAGGCCAGTGCTCTGTAAGTCTTCCCTAGGTGTTGAAGGGGCATAGCATCGACTTAAGGGCCTTGCAGTGCTGACACAAGAAGGGAGGGAGACTGGCTTGGCCAAACTCCCACAGCTGTGACGTGAAACCTGGAACTGCAGGCTTACTCTTCAGAAGGGCTCCAAGATAGCAACAGAAGACATTTCTTCATTCATCATTCATACATCTTAAAAAGCATGCTTGATTAGAAAAAATCCACGGCTTTCTCCCAGCTTGACTCTCCAGAGGCTGTCGTGGTCCTTGCTCCAGGGAGCAGATTTACACACAGCATGTGGGGCTCTAGTAGCCAGGCAGCATGGCACCCTGCAAACCTTATTTAGTCTTTGTTTCTCAACATGAGTTGAGTGGGATTTGGGAGAAAATAGTTTTCCATTAATAAAATTGCATACCTCTTTTTAAACTTGGAATAAGAATCTGATTCTGCATTAAGACACGTTTCACAGAAACAGATTCACCAATAAAGTCCTTTCCAGGGCCAGAGCAAAGTTTAAGTTGTCAAGAAAAGCAATGGACAAAGCGTTTCCCACGTCTTAACAGTTCCTATGCTTTCTTAGTTGTAGTCTTAGTAGGCCCTGTTTAATAGCTGTGTTCTTTTGTGAATTTCCCACCATAATTTTTTTTTCTTTTTAGTTCTGGGGTACATGTGCAGGATGTGCAGGTTTGTTACATAAATGTGTGCCACGGTGGTTTGCTGCACCTATCAACCCATCGCCTAGGTATTAGGCCCACCATGAATTAGTTATTTCCACCATAAATGTTGAGGGGCCTTATTAGAGGGTTTCCATTTTAGATGAAGCACTAATTTCCAGGAAGTAGCTTACCACTGTGTAGGTGTGCATCACAGAAATGCTCAACAAGGTCTGCAGGTCATGTTTCCATTCAGGGAGCGCTGTACTCCAAGCCAACCGTGACCATTTCAGGGCTGGCTAGTTGGAGAAGGGAGTGGACACCTGAACCCATGTTTTTACATCCTCTCATGCACATCAGTGCCCCTATAGTAGGTATACCGGGCCGCAGCTGGCATCCTGCACTCCTCCCCAGGCTCCTCCTCTACCATCCTAGGAACAGCCGCACCCCTCTGAGAATCCAACCAAACCCATCCCTGTGCTCTGGGAAGCGTGTACCCCAGTGGGTAGCACGTACCCCGGTGGGTAGCACGCTTACTCTAACCTGACCGCATACCCTCTTCCCTTCTCTGTAGGGTTCCAGGAGGGGATTGCAAACCCACCGGGAAAATGAGCGAAGAGACAGTCCCCGAGGCTGCCTCGCCGCCGCCCCCGCAGGGGCAGCCTTACTTTGACCGCTTCTCAGAGGACGACCCCGAGTACATGCGCCTTCGCAACCGGGCGGCAGACCTGCGTCAGGACTTCAACCTAATGGAGCAGAAGAAGCGCGTCACCATGATTCTGCAGAGCCCCGTGAGTGGGGCCGACCCGGGTGGGAGAGGGCACAGGGGGTGCTGGCTCTTCAGGGTGCACCCACCCAAAAGATGAGTAACTCCTCTTCCCCTTCCTCAGGGTCAGTAGAAATGTAAGCCCACTGAGCAAGATGGTCTGGTCACCCGGGCCTTGACTCTCCCTTGTAGCTGATGGATAGCAGAACCTGGCTTGTGTGTGGCAGTTTGGCTCTGTGGTGGGGGAGGTGGGAGCTTCCTGTGCGCCTTCGGAGCCTCAGTTCCCAGTCTTCCATTCCCTCCTTACTGAAACCTGTAACAATGAACGACAAATCCATGTAAACTGGAGACGAGCAGGGATGCCAGGAGGAGGGCTTGGGGCTTCCTTTATTGAACACCACAAAGTAAGAACTTTCTGTTGGGACGAATGAAGCTTTGACATGAATTAGATGGGATGGAGAGGGGTCTGGAAGCCCCAAGAAGTGGGGAGAGTGGAGGGCTCAGCAGGGCTGTGGGGTGGGGTGCCGGATGGGAGGGCAAGTTGGGATCATTCCTGATTTGGGGCCAGTTGGTCCCTGCCTGGCATGGACACAGAGCTCCTCCTTGGGCAGGTAGTGCCTTGAGAAGGCTGAAGCATGGGCCCAGTAGACCACTGAAGGCAGAGGGAGATTGGTGTGGAGGAGGCAAGAGGGCTATGACTGTGGTAGAGCTTGGGGGTTCCTCAGGAATCAGCCCATGATCCTAAGGATTGGGAAGCCCAGGGACAGAGTTGGCATCTCTAGGTGCTTGCTAGGATGGGCTCAGGAGGTGGCCCATTCCACTCTGCCTTGGCCCCCTGGAATCCAGGGAGCCAGGGCCTGTGCAAGGGCTGGGAGCCATGGTGCATGTTCAGGCTGCTCAGAGAAGCTCCAGGGAATGGGCCCAGGTCTGGGTGATACTGTGTTGGGGAGCCTGGAGGAATATGGCAGATGCTGAAAGCACTGGGATGAGGAGCCCCTGGGAAAACCCCCAGAGTGTGGCTAGGAGGGGTGGCAAGGGGGTTAGGAGAGGTGGCAGAGTTAGCACCAGCCCAGATTTCAGGGCTCAGGCAGGAAATAGGGATTGGAGGAGGTCCTGCTTCCTTCTGTTCTTTTATAGGTTGGCCAACTCTCCTAAGGGGCTCTCTACTTCCTCCTGAGTGCTTTCTCCTGCCACCTGGTGGGCAGGATTCCTTGCTTATGGCTTCATGGTCTAAAAAGCCAGGCTTAGAGTTGGACATGAGGAGCGGAAGGACCTCAGAGATCATCAAATCCTCCTGTTCTTCCTCCTACCATTTCATTAAGCACATGAGGAAACTGAGGCCCGGAAGAGTCAGGCATCACTAATGGAGCGGGATGGTGGCTATCTCCATTCAGTTCTGCCTTAAAAATGTCCTTCATTAAAGTCCTACCATACCATGTCTGATGGCGGGGAGGGGTCTTGGGCTTCATATAGACACAGAAAGGACCTGGAATCTGGATTACTGTCCACAGGGCTAGGGAATACAGGATTCATTCCCATACATTTCTTTGTTGTTTCCCACACAGCAATTCCTGAGGTCCTAGTGGAACTGCTCAGTGTCTCCTGCCACCAGGGATCTCGAGCATGACCTTGACCTAGCTGACCCAGGGGCAAGGGGTGGGCACTTGGAAGAGCTCACTGTTAGGCAGCTGGACCCAAGGAGCCCTTACGCTCCTGTGTGAGAGGCTGTGGGGGAACCAGCACCTTGGGGCCTGCTTCAGTCTTTCAGGGAGGAGCTGGAAGGCCTCATCCAGGAGCAGATGAAGAAGGGGAACAACTCCTCCAACATCTGGGCCCTGCGGCAGATCGCGGACTTCATGGCCAGCACTTCCCACGCAGTCTTCCCAACATCTTCTATGAGTATGTGGTGTCTGGGGTGCTAGGAGCAGAGGTGGCGGGGGAGGGTAGGGTGTGGGAGAGAGGGAGGAGCAGCAAGAATCATCTTGTTGCCAGGCTACGGAGCAAGCAGCCTATTGTATTATCAGGCCTTGGGGAGCTCAGCAGCAGACAGAGAGGTACCTGTCTCTGCTTCTGATGTTGCTGCAAATTAAATGTCCACAGAAGAATTACCCCGATGCCAGGAATGAGAGGGGTGGGGTGACCAGTGCATGGGAGGAGACTACTGAAGCCTGTGTCTCCATGCCCCACTAGACAGTCCAATCTGACTCCATAGACGAGGGCTGAGAGGAGCCAGCCAGGGCTATGTGGGAAGCCACCCTCCTGGGCTGTTATGCTCTGCCCTTAACGTTTATAAAACAAGCATCAAAAAATACTCCCCCTCAATAAGATTAATATAGGATTATGGCTAAAAACTGAAAATAATCAAGAAAGGGAACCAGAAATAACTATACTGTGTTCTTAAAGCCCTCAAATTACTATTCTTAATATTTTGGTGAACATATATCCTTCCAGTCCTTTTTTTCTTAACATATATAGATTATGCAAACACATTGCCTGTGTGATTATATAAATGTAATCATATAAAATATGGTTCTATAATTTAATTTTTGGTGGATACATGCTATTTAATCAATTTCCCATTATTGGACTTTTAGGTTATTTCCAACTTTTTCTATTAGGAACAACAATGCAATAAACATCCTTGCAAATAAACCTGAGATTATATCCATGATTAAGATAAATTACTAGAAGTAGAATTGCTGAATTGAAGTATATGCACACATGTTTTAAAGACTTTAATGCATAATAGCAGATTATGTCCTTTCTCCAAATGGATCCAATTTATGTTCCCAACAGCAATGCAGTAGAGTGCCCATTTCTCTGGTCCATAGTGTATATTACCATTTGCTTCATCCTCCTGATTCAGTAGGTGACAAATAGTACCTTGTGTTTTAATGTGCATTTATTTGACTACTGATGAGGTTGGATATATTATATATTTTCACATACATATTGGACATGATTTTCTTCCTTTCTCTTTCTTGCTCTCTTTCTTTCTACTGCCAAGTAGCTGGGACCACAGGCATGCACCACCACGCCCAGCTAATTTTTGTATTTTTTATGGAGATAACGGTTTCACCATGTTGCCCAGGCTGGTTTGAAACTTCGGGTTCAAGCAATCCATCCACCTCAGTCTCCCAAAGTGTTAGCATTACAGACGTGAGCCACTGAGCCTGGCCCTGATTTTCTTTTAATAGTAAATTGCCTTTTTACATCCTTTGCCTATTTTCCTATTGGTGTATTATTTTCTTAGAGATGTTTACATTTTTATGAAGTAAGGCTACTTCTCTATTATCAGTCAAATATACTGCATTTTTTTTTCCAGTTTCTCCTTTGTCTTTTAGTTTTGTTCATGGCAATTTTTTTTTTTTTTTTTGTCTTGTAGAATTCTTTAGTTTCTGTGTAGTGGAAACCATTGTAATTTTCCTTTGTGTGTTCTGCTGTTGATTGTATGCTTGGAAATGCCTTTCCCATGTTTTACCATCTGGTGGAACAAATATCCTTAATTATGCATTTCTCATTTTTTATCAACTGTTTATACAAGTTTATTCTTTAAAATAACTTTAGGCCAGGCACAGTGACTCATGGCTGTAATCCCAGCACTTTGGGAGGCCAAAGCAGGTGGATCACGTGAGGTCAGGAGTTTGAGACTTACTTGGCCAACATGGTGAAACCCTGTCTTTACTAAAAATATACAAGTTAGCCGGGCATGGTGGTGCATGCCTGTAATCCCAGCTACTTGGGAGGCAGAGGTGGGAGAATTGCTTGGACCTTGGAGGTGGAGGTTGCAGTGAGCCCATATTGTGCCATTGCACTCCAGCCTGAGCCACAGAGCAAGATTCTGTCTCAATAAAGAAAAAACAAAAAACAAACAAACTTTAGAATTATTTGTCAAGTCCCCTCATTGACCTTAAAAATTCCTTTTGGGAATTTGATTGGGATTACATTAAATGAATAAGTTGATTTGGTGAAGAATTTATAAATTTATAATTTTATATTAGAATGTAAGCTCTGGAGGGAAATTTGTATGTTTGGTTCACTGCTATATCCTAGAATAGTGTCCTTGATTTAGAATGTATCTAGTACATAGTAGGTACTTAAAAATATTTACGAGTGAATTGTAAATCTTTTCAGAAATGAGATATGTATTTTATTTATTTAAGTCTTCTTTAATATCCATCAGAAAAGTTTAGTAGTTATTTTCATGTAGTTCTTACTAATTCCTTATTAAGTTTATCCTGGAATTTTTAAATAGCTTTGTTACTTTAAATTAATCTTTGTCTATTCACTTTTCTTTCTGGTTATAGTTCTCATTTAAGATAAATTGTTAGATATATATAGCATACACACACACGCACACACACACTAGCCCCTTATCAAATTCTGATTTAAATTTTAGTATCACTTCAATTAATTATTTTGGATATTGTATATAGAAAAGTCACATAATCTGCAATTCATGGTCATTTTGCTTCCTTCATTTCAAAATTTACCCATTGGTTTATTTTTTTTAGTTTTCTCATTGCATTTGTCAGAACTTTCAGAACAATGTTTAATAATAGATTAGAGAATAGTCATCCTTGTTTTATTTCTGACTTTAATGGAAGTTGTTTTACCACAAGAGTTTGAGATAATTACTTTTTATCATGTTGAAGAAATATCTTTTTATTCTAGTTCACTATGAGTTTTTCTCAGAAAAGGATGTTGAATGTTATCAAATACATTTTGGCCATTTATTGATTTTTTTCCCCTTGAACTATTGAAGTGATGAGTTACAGTAACTGATTTCTGAATATTGAACTCTTTTGCCATTACTGAAGTAAATCATTACTGGTCTTGATACATTCTTTTAAAAATACCTTTCTGGATTTGATTTGCTAGCATTTTATTAAAGATTTTTGCATTCATATTCACACATGACATTGGTTAGCAGTTTACTTTTTGAGCAGTCTTTACCTAGTTTTGATATTACGGCTGTAATTTCATAACATGAATTAAGGTTATTTCACTCTCTTTTTTATCCTGATATAGTTTAAATAAGATAGGAAATCTCTGTTCCTTTAGAGTTATGATTCACTTACAAAGTCATCTATATCTGGAATATTTTTAGGGGTTTTTGATATTTTTGCTCTCGGTTTTATCTGGAGTTTTTGAATTTATTTTATGGCTTCTTGGTTAAATTTTGGTCATATATTTTATGTAAAATAATCCATTTAATGGAGCTTTTCATAATTATTGGGTCATTTACAATATTAGTTTCATCATTTAAATTTCCTGCTAAGCGGGGGACTCAAGATGGCGCTGTGAGAACAACCCAGGATTGGAGCTCTCGTTGTGTCCGCGGAGAGGTGAGTCTGAGCTGCATTTCCAGACTGATCTTTGTTGCCCACGGAATGGGGAAATTCCCAAGTGAAGAGGAGACATGGGACGCCAGGCAGAACCTCCGCCTGGCGAAGCCAGCAGCCGGGGTGGCGGCGGTCGGCCCTGCACAGCGCTCCCCACAGGGCGCGCTTGTCCAGGTGCCCTGTGGAACCGGCAACCGGAGACGTGAGAGGGCTGGACTTGAGACTGAGCTAGACTTGGACAGTGGGCCAGCCCAGGGGATTGCGGGGACAGAGCGTTAGGGGTGGCCTAGTGGGACGAACAAAACCGTGATTTCAAACAAGCCCCGTGCAGACGGCCCGAGACGCTCTGTGGGGGAGGGGCATCCACCATTACCAAGGCAACCCGCCCCAACTGAGATACACGCCCATTGCTGACGCAGCTAGCCGTTGCCGAGGCAACCCGTCCCTACTGAGATACACGCCCACTGCTGACGCAGCCTGCCGTTGCCGAGGCAACCTGCTACAACAGAGAGACTCCGCCGCAGGGCGTGGCGGAGAACACAGCAGAACAGCAGAGCCAGGGCGAGCCTCACGACAGCAGGGCAGAGCCTCGGCAGGCAAACAGTGGCTAGTCTGCGTCCTAGCTGGGCAGGACCTCAACGGACATCCAAAAATAAAGCCCAAACCCCTCAACACAGAGCATTTGAGAAAAAAAAAAGGGTTTTTTTTAATGAGCTCTGTTGCAGCAGAATCAAACATAGCAGCCTAACAGCCCTGAATGAACAACAGAGCTCACAGCTCAGCAATTAAGCCCCTATAAAGTACAAACTGTCTCCTCAAGCAGCTCCCTGACCCCTCTATATCCAAAAGACTGACATTAGGCAGGCATCATCCTGGGACAAAGATAGCAGAAAAAGAAACTGGTAGCATCCCTCGCTGTGCCACAGCAGCTAGAGGTGCACTCCAGACAAGCAGGGTCTGGAGCGAACCTCAGCAGTCGTACAGCGAAGGGGCTAGACTGGTAGAAGGAAAACCAAGCAACAGAAATACTTCATCATCAACATTCTGGGTGTCCACTCAGAGACCCAATCGAAAAGTCAGCAAATACGCAGACGACCAGCGGACAAATCCACAAAGATGGGAAGAAACCAGCGCAAAAAGGAGGAAAACACCCGAAACCAGAACACCTCACCTCCTAGAAAGGACCAAAACTCCTCCCCAATAAGGGAACAAAGCTGGACGGAGAATGACTGTGACGAAATGATGGAATTAGACTTCAGAAGATGGATAATGAGAAACTTTTGGGAGCTAAAAGATCATGTATTAAATCAATGCAAAGAAACTAAGAACCTTGAAAAAAGATTTGAAAAAAGATTCGAGGAAATGATAACAAGAATGGATAACTTAGAGAGGAATATGAATGAATTAAAGTAGCTGAAAAACACAATACGAGAACTTCGCGAAGCATGCACAAGTTTCAATAGCCGAATCGACCAAGCAGAAGAAAGAATATCTGAAGTCGAAGACCAACTCAATGAAATAAAACGAGAAACCAAGATTAGAGGAAAAAGCGCAAAAAGGAATGAACAAAGTCTCCAAGAAATGTGGGACTATGTGAAAAGACCTAACCTACGTTTGATAGGTGTACCAGAAGGGGATGAAGAGAATGAATCCAAGCTGGAAAATACTCTTCAGGACATCATCCAGGAAAACTTCCCCCACCTAGCAAGACAGGCCAACACTCAATTGCAGGAAATACAGAGAACACCACAAAGATATTCAGCAAGAAGAGCAACCCCAAGGCACATAATCGTCAGATTCAACAGGGTTGAAATAAAGGAGAGAATACTAAGGGCAGCCAGAGAGAAAGGTCGGGTCACCCACAAAGGGAAGCCCATCAGACTCACAGCAGATCTCTCGGCAGAAACACTACAAGCCAGAAGAGAGTGGGGGCCAATATTCAACATTCTTAAAGAAAAGAACTTTCAACCCAGAATTTCATATCCAGCCAAACTGAGCTTCAGAAGTGAAGGAAAAATAAAATCCTTTGCGAACAAGCAAGTACTCAGAGATTTTGTCACCACCAGGCCTGCTCTACAAGAGCTCCTAAAAGAGGCACTACACATAGAAAGGATCAACCAGTACCAGCCATTCCAAAATCACACTGAATGCTAAAGAGCATCAACATAATGAAGAATCTACAACAACTAATAGGCAAAACAGCCACTTAGCATCAAAATGGCAGTATCAAATTCACACATAACAATATTAACCCTAAATGTAAATGGACTAAATGCACCAATCAAAAGACACAGACTGGCAAATTGGATAAAAATCCAAAACCCATCAGTGTGCTGCATACAGGAAACCCATCTCACATGCAAGGATACACAAAGGCTCAAAATAAAGGGATGGAGGAAGATTTACCAAGCAAACGGAAAGCAAAAAAAAGCAGGAGTTGCAACTCTCATCTCTGATAAAATAGACTTTAAAGCAACAAAGATCAAAAGAGACAAAGAAGGCCATTACATAATGGTAAAAGGATCGATACAACAAGAAGAGCTAACGATCCTAAACATATATGGACCCAATGCAGGAGCACCCAGATACATAAGGCAAGTTCTTAACGACTTACAAAAGGACTTAGACTCCCACACAATAATAGTGGGAGACTTTAACACTCCACTGTCAATACTAGACAGATCAACCAGACAGAAAATCAACAAGGATATCCAGGGCTTGAACTCAGACCTGGAGCAAGCAAACCTGATAGACATTTACAGAACTCTCCAACCCAAATCCACAGAATACACATTCTTCTCAGCACCACATCACACCTACTCTAAAATTGACCACATAATTGGAAGTAAAGCGCTGCTCAACAAATGCAAAACAACTGAAATCATAACAAACAGCCTCTCTGACCATAGTGCAATCAAGTTAGAACTCAGAATTCAGAAACCGACCCAGAACCGCACAGCTTCATGGAAACTGAACAACTGGCTCTTGAATGTTGACTGGGTAAACAACGAAATGAAGGCAGAAATAAAGAAGTTCTTCGAAACCAATGAGAACGAAGACACAACGTGCCAGAACCTCTGGGACACATTTAAAGCAGTCTTTAGAGGAAAGTATATAGCAATAAGTGCCCATATGAGGAGAATGGAGAGATCCAAAATTGACACGCTATCGTCAAAATTGAAAGAGCTAGAGGAGCAAGATCAAAAAAACTCAAAACCCAGCAGAAGACAAGAAATAACTAAGATCAGAGCTGAGCTGAAGGAGATTGAGACACGAAAAACCCTTCAAAAAATCAATAAATCCAAGAGCTGGTTTTTTGAAAAGATCAACAAAATAGACAGACCACTAGCCAGATTGATTAAAAATAAAAGAGAGAACAACCAAATAGATGCAATAAAAAATGATAAAGGGGAAATCACCACAGATTCCACAGAAATTCAGACCATCATCAGAGAATATTACAAACAACTCTATGAGCATAAACTAGTAAACCTGGAAGAAATGGATAAATTCCTGGACTCCTGTGTCCTCCCAAGCCTAAACCAGGAGGAAGCTGAAACTATGTGTAGACCAATAACAAGGTCTGAAGTTGAGGCAGCAATTAAGAGCCTACCACACAAAAAAAGCCCTGGTCCAGACGGGTTCACAGTCGAATTCTACCAGACACACAAGGAGGAGCTGGTACCATTCCTTCTAAAACTATTTCAAACAATTCAAAAAGAGGGAACCCTTCCCCAATCATTTTATGAGACCAACATCATCCTGATACCAAAACCCGGCAGAGACCCAACGAGAAAAGAAAACTTCAGGCCAATATCCATGATGAACATAGATGCAAAAATCTTCAATAAAATATTGGCAAGCCGATTGCAACAGCAAATCAAAAAACTTATTCATCATGATCAAGTAGGATTCATCCCAGGGATGCAAGGCTGGTTCAACATACGCAAGTCTATCAACGTAATTCACCACATAAACAGAACCAAAAACAAAAACCACATGATTATCTCAATTGACGCAGAGAAGGCATTTGACAAAATTCAACAGCCCTTTATGCTAAAAACCCTCAATAAACTCGGTATCGATGGAACGTATCTTAAAGTAATAAAAGCTATTTATGACAAACCAACAGCCAATATCATACTGAATGGGCAAAAACTGGAAGCATTCCCTTTGAAATCTGGCACTAGACAAGGATGCCCTCTTTCACCACTCCTATTCAATATAGTACTGGAAGTTCTAGCCAGAGCAATCAGGCAAGAAAAAGAAATAAAGGGCATTCAAATAGGAAAGGTGGAAGCCAAATTGTCTCTATTTGCAGACGACATGATAGTATACCTAGAAGACCCCATTGCCTCAGCCCAAAAACTCCTGAAACTGATAAGCAACTTCAGCAAAGTCTCAGGATATAAAATCAATGTGCAAAAATCACAAGCATTCGTCTACACCAATAACAGACTTAAAGAAAGCCAAATCAAGAACGAACTGCCATTCGCAATTGCTACAAAAAGAATAAAATACCTTGGAATACAACTCACAAGGAACGTAAGAGACCTCTGCAAGGAGAACTACAAACCACTGCTCAACAAAATCAGAGAGGACACAAACAGATGGAGAAACATTCCATGTTCATGGTTAGGAAGAATTAATATCGTGAAAATGGCTATACTGCCCAAAGTAATTTACAGAATCAACGCTATCCCCATCAAGCTACCATTGACTTTCTTCACAGAACTGGAAAAAACCACCATGAACTTCATATGGAACCAAAAGAGAGCCCGCATAGCCAAGTCAATTCTAAGCAAAAAGAACACAGCGGGGGGCATCACACTACCGGATTTCAAACTATACTACAAGGCTACAGTAATCAAAACAGCATGGTATTGGTACCAAAACAGAGATATAGACCAATGGAACAAAACAGAGGCACTGGAGGCAACACAACATACATACAACTATACAATCTTTGATAAACCTAACAAAAACAAGCAATGGGGAAAGGA